CATGCGTGTGTGCATGTCCATGTGTGTTCACGCATGTCTGTGCATGCATGTCCATGTGTGTGCGTGTCCATGTGTGTTCACGCGTGTCCGTGCGTGCGTGTCCATGTGTGTGCATGTGTGTCTGTGCATGTGTGTGCATGCGTGTCCGTGCGTGCCCGTGCGTGCATGTCCATGTGTGTGCATATGTGTCTCTGTGTGTGTGTGTGCATGTCCGTGTTGTCCATGTGTGTATATGCGTGTCCGTGCGTGCGTGTCCATGTGTGTGCATGCGTGTCTGTGTGTGTGTGTGCGTGTCCATGCGTGTGCGTGTGTGCGTGTCCCTGTGTGTATGCATGTGTGTGTATGCATGTGTGTGCATGTGTGTCTCTGTGTGTGTGTGTGCGCATGTCCGTGTGTGTCCATGTGTGTATATGCGTGTCCGTGCGTGCGTGTCCATGTGTGTGCATGCATGTCTCTCTGTGTGTGTGCGTGTCCATGTGTGTGCATGCGTGTATCTTTGTGTGTGCGTGTCCATGCGTGTGCGTGCGTGCGTGTCCCTGTGTGTATGCATGTGTGTGCACGTGTGCGCTGTGGGAGGAGCATCATCTCTGGGGCTCTTTTCCAGCCCATGTGGTCTCTGCTTTGCAGACAGGAAGCTAATGGGCTCCAGCATTCAGAGGGCAGCTGCAGGAGCCCCTGGGCGGGGCAGGTTCCTGACCTGCGACTTCTCTTCCTGGGGGCATCAGCAGAGGGCCCGGGGTTGCCGCAGCCTCTAAGCAGAGGGACGGCAGGAGGGCAGGGGGTGTGCAGAGGACAGAAGCGCCCTGGGGGACAGAGAGACCTGTCCTGCCCTCCTTGCCCCCTGCGAACTCCCAGCTCGGGGGGCCGTGGGACTGATCAGAGGAGAGGAGGGAGCCCGGGGAAGGCAGGGTGGAGGCGCGATGAGTGGAGCAGGGTTGGGGCAGAGCCGGGACACGCCAGCTCTGACGGGTGAAGCCAGGGCTCCTCGTCCAGGCGTGCTGCTGTGCGTGGCCCTGCCGGCCTCCAGCACATGTGGGAGGAAATGATGCCAGTTCCTCTAATTGCAGTAAAACCCCACTGGAAAGGAGCCCTGGGAGCCGCCGCGGGCTGCCTCGGGTTTCCAGCGCGGGGGCGGGCGGAGCGCGGCTGGGGCCAGCGGCTGCAGAGCGCTCCCGGCGGAACGGTTCTGCCCAGGGCAACCCCCGCGACCTGCTAGATGCTGGCTAACGAGCGTTAACAGGGAGGGCCCACGTGGAATGGAGGCCGAGGGGGGCACTGCCGTGGGAGCGCTCGCCACCCTGGGGTCCCACCTGGGCACCCCTACAAGGCAGCACCTAGCGCTGCGGCACTGCTATGGGGAAGCTCGCAGCGCTAACCGGGCCGGGCCTGTCTTGCAGACGGTCTTCTCGGAGATGCGGCAGGAGTGCAAGTGCCACGGCATGTCGGGCTCCTGCACCGTCAAGACCTGCTGGATGCGGCTCCCTACCTTCCGCACGGTGGGCGACTTCCTCAAGGACCGGTTCGACGGCGCCTCCCGCGTCATCTACGGCAACAAGGGCAGCAACCGGGCCTCACGTGTGGAGGGGCCCCACCTGGAGCCCGAGAACCCGGCCCACAAGCCCCCCTCCTTGCACGACCTCGTCTACTTCGAGAAGTCGCCCAACTTCTGCACCTACAGCGGCAAGACGGGCATGGCGGGCACGGCTGGGCGCTTCTGCAACAGCTCCTCCCCCGCCCTGGACGGCTGCGAGCTGCTGTGCTGCGGGCGGGGCTACCGCACGCGGACCCAGCGCGTCACCGAGCGCTGCAACTGCACCTTCCACTGGTGCTGCCACGTCAGCTGCTTGAACTGCACCAACACACAAGTGTTGCACGAGTGCTTGTGAGCCGGGGCCAGGCGGGAGGAGGGGGACAGAGGCAAAGACCTTCCCTGGGGGGGGATCAAAATCAGGGCCCCACCCCCATCCCGCCTAGCAAGGGCACCGCACCCAAGCAGCCGCCGCAAGCCGGATTCTGCAGCCCCGTGACCCGGAGCCGCTGCTCTCAGTGGCAGACCCGGCCCCCGAGAAAGGCGAGGGCCTGGCAGACGAGGGGAGGGGCCGTCCTCTCCAGACCTCTCCAAACTCTTCCAGGCCAGGACACCTGCAGGGGCGTCAGCGATCACCCAGCGGTGACCCAAAGGGCCCTGTGGCAGCCCCCTCCCTGCCACCCCGCAGGGTCTATCCCTGGGCGCATTTGGGCGAAAAGGCCTGGATCAGCAGCCTGGATCCCTCTCCCTGCCCCGCGTCCCGTGCCAACGCCCCTTGCGGGAGGTGGGGGTGGGTCTCCACAGCCCAGCGCTGGCCTCTGTGCCGAGCCCCGGCCTGGGACCCCCACCCCACCTCCCCGCTGCTCAGTCACTCCCCGCCTCGGGCAGGATTCGTCCATCCGATGCGACTAGCCTCCCCCCGCCGCTGGGCTGGCCAGGTCCATGCCGCTCGTTAGCTTCTGGACTTGGCGCATTGTGCCAGGAGCAGGGTAGAAAACGCTGGCCGGGCACCGTTCGCTGGGCTGACGCGCGCGGTTGGGAGTTTGGTATGTAACGTGCACTGAAGAAGTGGTCGGAATCGCCAGTTTTGTTTTGTAAATAAAATATTTATTGTGAATGGTTTTATACCCCTTAGTGCCGGCCTGGCCTTGCCAACCGGTGGGTCTCCTAGACAATCCCTCTCCTCTGCCTTCGACAAAGATTCCCCCCCTGGCCTTTTTGTTTCTAATTCAAAGAAGAAGAAGAATGCTTTGTCACGGATCTCATTCATAGTGGGCTAGAGACAAATAAAGGATCTATTTTTATCAATCCAACGGAGTTTAATTTTTTTGTGGGGGGGGTTGGAGCACTGGGGCACCTCATCCCTGCCCAGCGCTGGGCAAGCCGTGTCATCATTAACACCAGTGCAAAGGGCGTGGGAGACGCTGCCACACTGAGTTGGCAGCACGTTCCACGCCTGTCGCACTAGTGTCAGCGAGGACACCAGGTGCAGGGCATGAGGGACTCCGAGATCTTAGGGTCAGAGGGGACCATTCGGATTGTGCCGTCCAGACGTGTGTATAACCCAGCCGGGGACCCTCCCCCAGCGCCTCCTGCGTCCAGTCCCAACGCTCCTGCCGGGAGAATCCAGCCCCAGCCCACGACAGAGGTTCCAATGGTCAGTTCCCCTCACTGGGTCTTATTGGCAGTTTGAGCTGATCCCCGCAGGGATCCTCAGACGTCTTGTTGGAACATGCGTATTAACGGTACGTCTGGAGCGAACACCAGTAGGTTTGCTGCATGGCTATGAACCAGCCGCCACACTCCACCCCAGAGGTGGCTGCATTTTCCCCGCCCCAGTGCTCCTCTCAGCCTCCTGCAGAGGATGCTCGCACTCCGCTGTGCGGATCCCGGAGACCACAGCCCCTGGGACGCGTGGCCCCGCCCCCATCCTGGCAGCTGGTGTGGGACCTGGCTGCACCGTGGGCTGAGAGCGGGCGTGAGCCCAGGAGCTCTGCAGCGTCACTTGGAAGGCAAAGCAGTCAGGCCCCAGGACGGCGATTCCCCTGCGATGCCCCCGCCCTTGCACACTCTGCTCCCCACCTGCTTTGGGGTTTCAGGATCTTCAGTGAGTGTGTTGGGAGCCGGGAGCCTCAAACCCACAGCTCGCTCCTGAGGAGGAGAAAGAAAATCCCAAGCCCCCTCCCCGCGCCGTGCGGGATCAGCTAGAGAACGAACCGGCCTCCCGCCAGAGCCGGCGCTAAGTGGAAGCAGGTGACGAGCTGGGGAACTGCCCGGCTTTCATGTTTGGGCGGGGTCCGGGGTGAGCCGCCGATCGCACCCCTTGAGGTTAAACAGGGAGGCCCAGCTGCTGGTTCCCACCGCCCGGCGTGCAATGCCGGCTAAGGCCCCGCACCGGCACCCACCGCCCGGCGTGCAATGCCGGCTAAGGCCCCGCACCGGCACCCACCGCCCGGCGTGCAATGCCGGCTAAGGCCCCGCACCGGCACCCACCGCCCGGCGTGCAATGCCGGCTAAGGCCCCGCACCGGCTCCCACTGCCCGGCGTGCAATGCTGGCTAAGGCCCTGCACCCGCTCCCACCGCCCGGCGTGCAATGGTGACTAATCACCCGGCGTGCAATGGCGGCTAAGGCCCCGGCGCCGGCTCCCACCGCCCAGCGTGCAATGGCGGCTAAGGCCCCTATCCCGGCTCCCACCGCCCGGCGTGCAATGCCGGCTAAGGGCCCTGCACCGGCTCCCACCGCCCGGCGGAGGAGCAGTGCGGATGGCGATGTGGAAGAGGCCAGGACTCTCTAGATCAGGGGTCAGAAACCTTTCAGAAGTGGTGTGCCGAGTCTTCATTTATTCACTCTAATATAAGGATTCGTGTGCCAGTAATACGTATTAACATTTGTAGAAGGTCTCTTTCTATAAGTCTACAATATATAACTAAACTATTGTTGAATGTAAAGTAAATAAGTTTTTTAAAATGTTTAAGAAGCTTCATTTAAAATAAAATTAAAATGCAGAGCCCCCCGGACTGATGACCAGGACCCGGGCAGTGTGAGTGCCACTGAAAATCAGCTCACGTGCCGCCTTCAGCACGTGTGCCATAGGTTGCCTACCCCTGCTCTAGATTAACACCCAGTTCCTCCTGACGTGCTACACACACAGGAATCACCATGCCTACCACTGAATGCAGCCACCTCTGGGGTGGAGTCTGGTAGATGGTTAATAGCCACACAGGAAAGATGCACAATAGTTTGGAAATCTAGTATATTTCATCCTGCATCCAGGGGCCGCTTGTGTAATCTAATCCATCCATCTAAGGCAGTGGTTCTCAACCTTTTGTACTGGTGCCCCCTTTCACACAGCAAGCCCCTGAGTGCGACCCCCCCTTATACATTAAAAACACTTGTTTATATATTTAACCCCATTATAAATGCTGGAGGCGAAGCAGGATTTGGGGCGGAGGTTGACAGCTCGCGACCCCCTGAGAGGTCCCGCCCCCCAGTTTGCGAACCCCTGAGCTAAGGTGTGTCCATCTCCTAGCTGGTCTCATGGGCCCATCGCCATGACAGCCAAGCACTTGGGCACAATGGGGCCTCTGGCCTCTGGCCTTTGCTTGGGACGTGGGGCTGGTTCCCCTTAGTGCCAAGGGGTCATTAATGACCTCTGGAGGCCAACGATGACAAGGCAGCGAATGAGCATCGTCCAGCACTGTCCGCTCTGGGGAAGCAAGTGAGGGAGCCGGAGTTTATCGTATGGTGCCCTGCTCGCGCTGCTGGCCCAGAGACCCAGGAACGCTGAGGTGCCCAACTCCCTTTGGGTCAATTCCAGGAAAGGCCCAGGGTGGTGGGTGCTGAGCTCCTGGCACTCGATCCAACACCTGGGGAGGGGTTCCCCGGAGGGGCTGGGCCGGGCCGGGGCAGTTAACCCAGACAAACGCCAGCAGGAACGAATGCCCGCCCGCCGGGTGCTGAAGGGACGCGGATTCGCCGTGTCTCCATGGCTCCAGCCGCAGAGCGGAGGGTCTGGACGATGCGTTAGCCAGCCCCACGGCACTAGCCAGGGGACCTGGGGGCAATCGCTTGGCCTCTGTGAGCCAGGAGGGCCCATGAGCTGATCTCAAGGTGCCTGTTCACCATCCGAGCTCGGGGTTTCCTGCGCGGGACCCGGGCGATGAGCCGGCGAAGCGGCACATCGAGTGGGACAGTGTCAAACGCTCAGCGGTGGCGCTGGGACATTTCCAGAAATACCTTCTCGTGGCGCTAGCGGAAAAGTTGATGCTTAGAAAGAAAGAAGAAAAAAAAGATTGTCCCTTTTTCTTGCCAAGGTGCAAAACACTCCCTGGTGCGGTAAAATAAAGAAATGCACAGAAAAAAAAAGACTGGAAAGAAACACATCCCGAAATAACCCTCCTGCAGCATCACCGTTGTCTGCTGGGAGCTATCGCTCTGCTAAATTCTGCCGTGCACCGGGCATGAAAATAACCCTGTTTGCCTGCGGTGGCGAGTTAAGAATATAGATAATGACATTGTTATAAGTCTCCTCTGTTACTCAGTTTTTCCAGAGGGCTCGCCGAACCGTATCACACCTTCAGCCGCCAAAGCCCCCCTGAGATAGACTCACACACACACACAACCGGGCTGAAGGGTGCAAATTAACAGGGCTTTTATAAATACACTGGGTGGCTTTAAATATAGCTCCCCGCCCCCTCCCCCTGCGCTGTCCTGGGCCTGAGCTGGGAAATGCACGCCCTGCCCCCCCCCCCCACCCAGTGGAAAGCCCATCACAGCTGGGCAGCTGTGAAACATCTGGAGCCCTTCGCCACTGGCTGTACTTTCGAGAAGGGTTTTTGGTGTGTGCGGAGGGGGGGTTGGTAGCTGAGCGCTGAAGGAAACGCTCCAGCTGTTCAGTGCATTAAATCGTGTGTGCTAGTGTCATATGCACACTCACACTCACCCGTGTCACACCTTCCCTGTGAACAGCAAGTGGGGTCCAGTGGCGGGGTCCGAGCACTGGAAAAGCTGGGCCAGAAGCGCTGCCCATCTGTGGGGTGGGGTGGGAGGCTCTCATCCAGCCTGCAGAGCGAGAGAGCTGGGGACGGGAGCATGGAGGCCGCAGTCTGTGCAGGGAGCAGACAGAGCCCAGCGGCCCTGCCCCGGGAAAGGCTCAGGGGGCAATGGGTGAAGCGCACACGACATCGGGGCGCGCGGGGGGGGGCATGGTGAGAAGAGGAGACGTCACCTTTAGCTCGCCGGCCCCCTGCGCTGGCCTCAGGCTGACTGGGCTTTTGGGGCGTGGGGGGCACACTTCCTGCGTCAGTACAGCGCTGGCGCCTTGCTGGGGGGCGCCCTGCCACCACAGGCTCGGCCTGTCACATGGGACCAGCCTGTGGCTTCCCCCCCAGCGTCCTGGCTAAAGTCCAGTGTGGGCAATTCCCCCCTGGTCCCGCCCCATCCCCTGTGGGCTCCAGCCAGGCATGGCACCGCTGTGCCACGTTCCATCCCAGAGGTGGCTGCCTCTCAGCAGTGGGGGAAGCCACAGGAGTGACAGGCCGCTGGCTGGCACCAGCCCCGCCTCTCTCTCCGGGGGAGGACAGCGGGGTTCCCACCTCTGCAGCTACATTGGGGCAGACTTCCCCCAGCTCCACAAGCCAGTTTGTGCCTGTTGCCCCCGGACTCCAGCGGGTGCTCAGGAGACCATCAGGATTGGGACCACGGCAGGGGAGGGGAGTCCAGATGTGGCGTTTAGTTCATGTGCCGCCAGCCACATCCTGGCGAGGGGAGGGGGCTGTTGTGGGAACGCGGGAGCCGCTCCCCTGCGCCGATTACTCAACGTCAGCTTTAGCTCAGCCCGGTTCATATTAATCCTCGGAAGTAATTTAGCCGTCTCCGCTCACAGCCCCTTGCCTGGCTTCTAATTAACTCCTTGTGCCTCCGGTTTTGTGTCCCGCGAATACCCCACCTTGTCGGGCCCGCCTCTCCGCTTCCCCCCTCCCCGGGAGCATTCCTGTCCCGACGGGCCAGGGCGCCCCAGCAACCGTGGCCAGGCTCGCCCCTAATCCGCGGCCCGCCGGCATCTGCTGGGGAGGCAGCCCGTCACCTCCTGGCTGTTAGGTGACCAAGGCCTGAGAGAAACAATTAGGGACAAAGCTGAGCGCCCCAGGGGTCTAATACAAACCTTCATGGGACGGTTGTGTGGCATTTGGGGAGTTTAATGAATTGTCCATCATGCTTTTCAGGCCTGGTCGGCGGGGCTGGATTAATCTGAGAAACCACAGTGGGTAGGAGCCACTAAGCCTGTATTTATTACTCTTCCATTGT